TTCAGATGTCAAACAATAGACATTTTCGGCACATTTAATTAATCTTTAGCAGACGATTTCTTCCTTATTATTGACCCAAACGCTTTATAAATGCATGTTTGTGACCTTCTCACGTCGAAATGAATCGATTTAGCTCAAAAAACACGCATGAAAAATTTAGATTTTTGGCCGAAATCTTTCCAAGGGTGGGGGTCGATTTTTTGAAAAAATGAAAATTTGCCCAAAATATCTTAAGTTTTACATCATTTTCAGCTCACGGACGCGAAGAATGCATCGAACTCATTGGACATGCAAATATGATATTTGTGACCTTCTTGCGTCGAAAGAAATCGATTGAGCTCCAAAAACACGCAGGTAAAATTTTAATTTTTGTCTGAAATTTTTCCAAGAGTGGGGGTCGATTTTTTGAAAAATTGAAATTTTCCCAGTGCAATCAGTAATCAATAGACAAGTATTTTGAACACTTTCGTTCGTGCGGCTTGATAGCGTAAATAATCCCTGCCGAGAGGGTCAGAAATATGGCAACTGCGCGTGGCCTTCAGGAAGTCCATCTTGAATGAGATTAAATGTGTTGTTCAAAGTGTCGCGGCACACAGAGCGTCATTAACACACAAGTGTCTTAAGACACAGTATTGCCTAGGCCTACTTACCGGTTTTTTGTCGAAGAAGAAGATCCCATAAGGCGCGCCTTGCCGAAGGATCCATTCCAGCTGTTGGTTCATCCAGCATTACCACCTTGGAATTTCCGCAAAGCGCTACACCTACGCACAGTTTCCTTTTCATGCCACCCGACAGTGTGTTGGACTTGCAATTTCTCTGGAAATGTTTTTCATGATTTTTCCATTTAAACTGCCGTACCTGCATATTTTACCTTGGGCTGAAGCTCTAAAAGATCCACATACTTGGTGATTTCGCTCTCAATCTCCCATTTGCTCGTCATGCCTTTCAGTTTGCTGAAAAAGTACAGATGTTCGGCAACAGTGAGGTCATCAAAAATGATATTGTGTTGTGGGCACAGTCCCAAGCTCCGTCTCACGCCATCCATCTCCGAACGAATGTCGTATCTATTTAGGGAAACTTCAACATTTTTGAGGAAAACTTCGTCAATCTTCTACTGACCCGTTGACTATGGCAGTTCCGCTGGTAGGCGTAAACATGCCGGTCAACATGGACATTGTGGTGGTTTTTCCGGCTCCATTATGGCCCAAGAGAACCGTTATTTGGTCCTGATACATGTTGAGCGACAGGTTCCGAACGGCCGCTTTGGTACCAAACACCTTTCGCAGCTTCCTGATTTTGATGCCAGCCGACAAGTTTTGTGGATCGGTTTCGAAAAACTCCGCCTCATTTTTCACCGCTGCTTCTTCGAAGCTCTCAACACCTGCGGGAAAGCCGATTTTACCCCAGAGTTTGCTGAAGCATTTCCAAGGGTGTTTTAAGCGAGGATTGTCTAAAAACTTGTCGGATTCGCTGGTTTAATTCTCATATTAATTCCGCGCTCACTTTTGCGCCTTTGCACGATTGAATTGTTTGGCCGCTTTGTACCTTTGTTGCCAGTTTGGTGCAAATTTCCGAAAATGGAACCCTTGTGTTGGTTGACTTACCACTGTGCCTCGGTTGCCCGCACCAGAACGTCGCCGTGAATGGAAAGTACCACTTTTGTGGCACCCCGTACTCGCCGGGAAAAACGGCTTCAATGTACAGAGCAACCAGCAGATAAATCAGCGCATCAACGGTTAAAACAACCATCAACAGTCCCAAGGAAAGGTCATCGTCCGGGGTGTTCGGCTTCCAAATGTTGTTGAACTGAACTCCTGAAACCCCCCGAAGTCATCAATCAGCCGCAAGAAGATCCATAGAAAAAAGCACGTACCTTCGCCAGTTCCTTCATACATCAAAATAACTTGAAATCCAAAGGCCATGGCCGTATTCGAGCCTAAACTAGCTACGAGCTTAGCGCTCAGCGATAGAGTGTCGTAGTTGTTTTGCATAAACGAATAAGGCGCATAGGACAGGAACCAAGCTAAGCCTGCAATTGTAGCTGCAGTGTTTGCTGAAAACGACGAAGAACAGTCGGAAAATGAGCAAATTGCTGAAGCGCGGCAAACCTTTGGAGAAGAAAACGCTGACGGCGAAGCAGAAGGTGATGGTGGCGCAGACATAGAAGAACAGAAAAATCAGCAGCACGATCGGATTGGCGTAGGTGAAAACTGTGTATTCGGTGTTGGTGTACCAGCGCACCTTCAGCAGAACCACCATTAAAATGATCGAGATCATTAAGTAGCTGAACGTTTTGAGGAACCAAGCGATCCAATGGAGCCAGTTGGGCAGGCCCATGATTTTCATCGCTTCCTGCAAGAAAATCGTTGAATCAGGGAACTTCCCAAGCCCTCCTCTCACCTTCAGTTGCTTCTCCTTCTCAGTGGTGATCACTTTTACAGTGTTGATGCACGTATATACAAAACTCAGCATCACAATGATGCTGACAAAGCTTTTGAGCGGCGTTAGAAGGACGTCTTCTTTCCATTCGGCATTGGGAAATCGCCTCATGTATATGAAAGGGATTTTCTCGGAAGTTCCATTCAGGGCGTCCATCCATTCAGTTAAATTGCTACCTTTAGGTATGGTAATGCCCGAATTGTGCATGGTTATAAAAACGGATAGCAAGTGCTGCAGCGCCAAAAAGCCTTCCTGGTAATAGTCTGGAAACATTTTTTTTCAGTTAACTGTTGCCAGAACACTGTTTTTGGCTGAAAGAAATCTCTAGAGAGTGATTCAAAGTGTTTAGTGTTTAATCAAAAGTGAAAAACTGAGATTAAGTGCGAGTAACTTCGAGATTTTTTGAACACCCTGCAGCCATTAAGTGGAAACGGAAACCGGCAAATTTTCATTTTTCTTCAGCACTTTCGTCCAAAAGTGTTTTAGTTATAATTCGGGTACATTGAGATCTTACTAGGAGTCGCGCCGGTTGAGCTGTTAGAAGTTCGGGGCCCAGCGGTTTGAAACACTGGAAACACCAAATTGGTCCGCCAAGTACTCTGGATCAAGATTGACTCTTGATTTCGTAATTCCGCTGGAAATCTGCAAAACAAAATCGTTGTTTGGGTTGCCGAAAGTTGTTTGCGCGTAGCAATTTTTTAACCGATTTTAGACTAAAGCTTGTGTCCCATGGGACACGGCCTTTAGCCGAACCATCAAGGGCGGATCCAGGGTCGGGGGGTCATGGGGGGCATGACCCCCTCCC